TTCATGATTTACAACCGTATCATGTCCACCAAATTTGTTATTGGCAAGTGCCGAGCTTCTTGTATCCATGAATTGAATGACTCAGCAACATTTGAATACATCTCACCATAACGTTTTCCCGCAAAATATGCATCACTCCAATTTTCATATGGTAAACTTCTCAAGAAAACACTCACAATGTCTCCTCTCTCACTTTTTAATTCATTTAACTTGAAATGAAATGATGCCTTTGTTGGAGCATATGCACATTCTGAAAACTTGGACACAATCGTCTCCCTAACCAAATTTGTGTTTCCACATGACAACTTATCCCTCAAATTTCTCTTTAGATGTTCCAGACAAAATCCATGAAAACAGTTAGGGAAAAACCTAACAATTCTCTCCACAATTCCACAATGTCGATCTGATATGAAACTTATCACCCTTTCTGATCTTAATACTCCACATAAATGTTCAAGAAACCAACACCAATTGTCTTTATTCTTAGCATCAACAACAGCAAAAGCTACAAGAAAAAAACCTACAAAACAAATAGGAACAAGCATATTAGATATACACATGTAGAGAAAAATAGAACAATAAACAACCAGAGAATTTTGACACTGCCAACATCCAGAGAAAATTCACTTAGTGCCAAACTCCAGAAAAAATTCACACATTGGCAATATCCAGAGAAAATTGACTTAGTAACCAGCTACAGAGAAAATTCACACAATCATAATATACAGAGAAAATTCACTTAGTGACCACCTACAGATACAATTCACACAATGACAATATCCAGGGAAAATTCATACACCGACCAAAATCCAGTGAAAATTCTCACAGTGGCCACAACAACAGAAAATCTACACAGTGGCCAAAACCAGAGAAAATTCACATTCACTCAATTCCTACATGTATAGAAAATTCACATACTTAGATAAAATTAGATATATTTACAATTACCTTCATTCCCATCTTTCCCCGTTGCAGCAAGCATAACTCCTTTGTATCGTCCTTTCAAAAATGTTCCATCAAGAAAAAGCAATGACCGACAATATTTGAAACCAGCAATGCATGCATGAAAAGCCACAAACACTTTTTTGAAACGCTTGTTATCTGCAAAATCTAACTCAAAACGACTCCTTGGATTGTTCTTCAATGCCTCATCAAAATACCACCGTAATTGATCAAATGACAAACAAGAATCCCCATATGTACTACATTTTGCTTTTTCAACACCCAACCAACCACAGTTATAACTGATTGAGACCCTATACTTGTCTTTCATTTCTTTCACAACATTCACTGGACGAGTTAAAAGTTTTGCACTTACCTCTTCAAGTATCAGCCCATAAACTAAGCTGGAAGTCATCCTCGAATGTTTACTCATACGAACCGCCACACCACACGTATGTTCATTGTTCAAAGTCCTTATGTAGAAGAACCCATTTGTTTTTTCAACAGAAGCATGTACACGCCACATACATCCCCTTGATTCCTTATATGCACATTCTGCCGTAACCCTCAGCTTGTCATTTTTAACATACGTAAACTGAAAACCAACCTCAATAGCATACTTGCATAAAAAAGTACGGAACTCAACCACACCACCCTCAAACTTTTGTCCAACACTCGTAATATTATTCCGCCAACTAGCCGACAATAACACCTTTTCTTGGTGAGAACAAAACTTAGAGAGTGAATTCCTTTCAACATCCACCAGCCTATCACACTCACCATCCACAACACCTACCCAATTAGACCCCACTTCATCCTCTTCATCAGAAGTACTACATCTACTAACTGAAACATCAACTATATCAACACCGCGTGCACAAACAACCCTCAACATATTCAGAAAATCAATATTATTTCGAACCATACAATTCGGATGGCCCAAAATAGAATATGAAATACACATAGTCTCATGTTTCAAATTCTCCCATGTTTTACACAAAATGCCAACCAATTCCTCAAAATTCAATTCGCATGAAACATTAATGACAATAGTATCATTCCCATATTTGCACAGCAACAACATTGCACTGTCCATTGAAACTGAAACAAAAAACAAGAAAAATAATTTGTTTAACATAGAAACACTTCACAAGAACAACATAAAAGTCCAGAGAAATTTCTAAAAATTATAATTTTCTCTGAACTTAAAATAAAAGTCCAAAGACATCTACAAACTGATATTCACCTTCAAGATGATAAAAAACAAAATCACAGAAACTTAATGAATCACAGAGAAATTTACTGCTAACTATTAAACACAATTATAGAAAAAAAATCACATAGAATACAAGTCCAGAGAAATACTTTTCTCTGAACTACAAACTGCAAGTGAGTAACAAACTTACAATTTTCTCTGAACTACAAATACAAGTCCAGAGAAATTTATGAACTTACATTCACTTTCTCATATTCTATCTGCACTACAAACTTCTAATAATATGTCCATATGCACTTATAATTTCATCTGGACTACACAAACAAAAGTGCAGAAAATGAAATTTCTCTGGTTTGAAAAAACATAGAACAAAACTTATCATTGATCAGCATGTTGATAAAAAACAGAGCACCAAAAATGAACTCTAAACATCAAAATCATCTACACTGTCAACACTATTTGAAATTGATCAAAAAACAAAGAATGAAAAATTAATTCCAAAAATAAAAATCAACTTTATCAAGCTGGCCTCTCTCTAAACAAAAATTCAAAACAAAAATCAAAATGCATGTAGTATCTCCATCAAAAACAAACCTGATTCAACTCCACTGAAAATCTACGCGATCAACACATTGTAACACCACTGAAATCTCCGACGAAATCTCCGACGAAATCTACATGATCGTAGCAATCTTTCTCGTCAACTCCACTGAAATCTCCGACGAAATCTCCACCATGAAACCTCCATTGAAATTTCCGACGAAAACTCCGACGAAAACTCCACTTCAAATTCGGTTTCCAAAATCTATCAGTTAAGTCAACAATATAATATTCAAACAAATTTATGTTATAAAGGAAGGGTAATTTAGGTACTTTATAACCTAAAATAATTTGAGGGACCTTAGCCATCAAAACATATTATAAAGAACCTCTCCTCCTATCAAAAGTAGAGGAGGGACCTTAGGCCAATTTTTCCTATATATATATATATATATATTTGATCCTCATGCTTCTAAATATTACAATATAACTCCAAAATTAATTTTAAAATTTTAAAATAAGACCGTGTCTAAGCGTGTCCTTCCTTCAAAAAACATTATTACAAAAAATAGGGCAAAACATCAATAAATCTCAAATTTTAATTTGTTAAACTATTTGGTCCTGCCTTTTATTTTGTAGACTAATAAGTCCTATTTGAATGTTAAAAACACTATAGGCTTTTTTTAGATTTCTCTCATTTTCGAACATCAGCAACATTAACTACACCAACAACATCATCAACGTCAACTACATCATCAAACATCAACTACATCATCAAACATCATAAACATTGATCAAACATCAACTACATCATCAAATATCACAAACATCATAAAACATCAACTACATCATGAAACATCATCAACATCATAAAACATCATCAACATCATCAAACATCAACTACAACATCACCAACATTGTGAACATCATCAAACATCAACTACATCTTCAACCTCATCAAACATCATCAACATCACCAACATCATAAAACATCATCATCAAACATCAACTACATCAGCATACATCATCAACATCACCAACATTGTGAACATCATCAAACATCAACTACATCTTCAACCTCATCAAACATCATCATACACCAATATGAGATACAATATATTGATGTTTATACAATATAACAAACAAAGATACTATACCAAATATAAAATATAACAAATAAAGATACCATACTAAATATAAAAAGAACTAAATGGTTTACAAAAAAATACTCAGGACTAGATAGAGTAATATTTCCCAATACGGGATTTATGAGTAATTTTTTCAAAACAATAATGGTGTTACATACACCAATTAATGTACTAACTTATGACATTATTATTGACCTCACTCATTATACAAATTACAAAAATTAAAAATCTCTTAAATTATATCACATAATCTATTAATATACTAATTAATACATTAATTAATGTATATAGTATTATTCTAAAAAAAAAAACACCATGCGGCGTGTTCCCACCATGCCCCGAAAAAACATTATTAAAAAAATAAACAAACCATAGGATTGTCTCATATGTGCTTAATAAGGCTATGATATGACACCTATTTTTGAAGTGTTCATAGCTTGCTATGTCTACGAGAATGCAGCTGGAGGAAAATATTCTCTCTATCTTGATTTCTCTTGGCGATTCACCTGGTGATTCACTTCGACTCAGTTTTTTAAATAAATAAATGTGTTTGAACTTGATTTTAAGCTCAGTCAGTAAACAAGCTAGGATCATACTTGAATAAACCAAACTTGTTTATTTTTATTTAAATTATATATAAATAATAATAAACAAAATTTCATTATCGAGCTTTAAACCAAACTTGAGCTTGATTAGTTATCGAACCAAGTTCGAACTGTATAATCGAGCTCTATAAACAAACGAACCAAGCTCGCACCTTATAAAACTTGGCTCAACTCAATTCATTTGCAACCCTCCTCAAAAGTGCTTTAGAACCCATATACGGAAAATCTATAATCAAATTCAAATTCAACCCAAGCGATCATAATTCATTGAGAAAACCTATAATCACTAATACTTTTTTTTTCTTTTCCTTTTTTTTCCCTCTCTTTATTTATTTATTTATTTATTTATTTTATTTTATTTATTTTTTTGCCTGTGTTTTCTTTAGATTGAGTTAATTGTGGCAAAGAACAGACAAGGATTTGGCCAAAGAGCCGGGACATTGATGAACCCTTTTCAAATCCTGCACTGCTTTCAAGAAATTGTTGTATTGAACTATACATATAAACTTGTTCACATTTCAAAATGATCCTAATATACAACATAATCTCTTAATGAGAAAAAAAATATATATATATATTTTTCATTTTTTCGTTAAGTCAACAGTGAATGTTAGGTATAACAAGCAAGCAAATAGTCTAAAAACAGCAGTTAACAAAAATAATTGGCAGACCATAAAGAGCTCTAACAAAAATCAAGGTGAATTTAACTGCTGTAGCTTAGCTTTAGTTGCATCAAGTTGTCCTGTAAAGTAACCAGCAAACAGATGAGAAGAATACGTATTACAAGATTACTACCCGTGGTAAAAAAATAAAAATTTAAGGGAATCAAAAATAAAATTCTCACTCTGTTCAAATGTGGTTGCTTTCTGAGCAGTAGTACGGAAAAATATGTTCCCATTTTTCTGATAAACAGCCTGCAGACAAGTAACGCAATTGTTTCTCTGTAAACTTAATTGATCAAAACAGGAGAAGCAAAGGCTAGCAAACAATATACGGCACACGGTGCTCTGAAAATTCAAAGAGTTTATTGTGAATGACAAATTAAGGAAAAGTAACGCTCTTATGCAATAAGCACATATGACACGACATGAAAATAAAAAAATCATAGTCACTTTAATGATATCACCCGTCAATTAGAGGATGAAATTTCAAGTTCAAGCTTCCGTTTTAGTAGTGAACATGCACTGTTGCACCAAGTGGCAAGAGCCAAGACTAAAAAGCGGGTTAAAGGTTCTACTGCTAAAAGCTTAATTCATGATAAAATGGCTCATAAAAATAGATCATTAAAAACTTAGGGGGCTTAAGATTCGACAGCACAAAACTCAATTCAGCATAGAAAGCTGACGGCTTAGTTAATGATCTTCTCCGAATGCCCTTCCCCTCCTCTCTTTTGCACAGAAACTTTATATGAAATTATCTCAGTTACATGGGTTCAATCATAAAATGATGAAGATAATTAATACTAAGCATTTTAAACAATAAGTTATGCATTTTTGTTATAATGTATTTGATGCAAGAGAATTGATGAAAAAAACCTTCACAAATTATGGCCAAGTAACATTTTTTTTTATATAAATAAATTATTTCCAAGTACATGTGAAGAACTTGAGAACGATAACTTGCAGATCCACCAATTATTGCAGGTGCAACTAAGCACATCACAGCGCATGGGTTGTAATGGAACCCATCTAAAGTCTATGCTACAGTAAAATTCAGGTTTACAATATATATATATATATATATACTGCTATTTTTAATTCGTCACCCCTATTTTTTTCAGTTGTCTTTTCTCTAATTTTTGCCACCTGCCTGCATTCCCTAGAAAATATAAAAGGAAATTGCTGCTAATAATTTCTTATAGATTAAGCTGATGAAGAAGAAGAGGATACTGTCCTCTTCAAGAAACTGAACAAATCAACAGAACCCATGCTTTCTTAATTGGGGCCTTTAAACATATATTAAATTGAGGCCTTTAAAATATGTTGATGACAAGAATCTGGGATAGTTTGGCTACCCACTACAATTGAGAAGGAAAATACCTAGCTGATTAAGCATCCCAAAACCATTTGGGCCACGTGGGTTCAACCATCTATGACTTACAACCTCGTGATTCTCATTTCGTCGTGTCTTAGGAATGATGTTACACAGGTTGTGACCCCAAGATATTGCCATGTTTTTCTGTTCTAGACCCTCCATCCTCTGTAATGCTAATAAAAATAATGACCAGACCACACTTCATGATTTTGATCTATTCAATGGAAGTTTATATTTTTTGAAATATCTTTCAATTAATATGGAGTATTTTAGGAAATCAAGAACTTATAAAACTTTATTTTGAGAAAGTTTGTGCTGTCTTTTCTTTTTAACTGTTTAATGACCTGATCTGTACCCTCTCATCCTTCATCAGATTTTGAAATTTTAATGGTCTTTCTACAGTTATCTGAACAGTTTTCTTTTCTGCTTGACAGGTTCTTTTTTCCTGTTTATTATTTTTTTTTGAAAATTTCCATTTTTAACTTTGGAAGACAATAATCCATAATTAATTTTGCCAATTCGACAAACTAGGTTGATTTTGGATGACTAAAAGTTGTTTACAATTTGGGTAGGGTTGTTGGTTCAGGTTTAGAAAGATTATGATTATGCTACTCTTATGTCTTCCCTAAAAAGGACCAAGAAGCAAAATTTTGCTCCCCCAAAATGTATATTTCCATTTTTTGGAGTCCAGTGCAACCCTCTAATGACTGACTGACTTGAACTTACTATAACTTTTGAACCTTCAATCTTCTTATGCTTCTAGAAAGCGTAAGAAGTTCACATTTACTGATAATATCATTAAAGTTAATAGAAATTCAGCCAACAAAATATAAAACTTAGGCTCTGTTAAGCAAGTGGCTATTTTAGCCATAAAAGTCACTCAAAAGTCAAAAAGGCAAAAAAGTTTTTAACTCGTACAAAAAAATCAAAAATTCCTTCGCATTCTCTCTACAAAGTTGAAGATTCAACAGATAAAACACAACCTTTTGCATATTTTTCCATAAAAAGCCAAAGAGTCATTCCCAAACATATTATTGTTTTTTTTTTT